TTGTGCGGGGTGTGGTTGGGAGTGGGGCCAAAATTAATATTTGCTCAAAGTTGAGGTAAAAGTTTTAGTTAACAATGAGTTGGGTACGAACTGCACGTTAGGATTTCATTTTAAGATAAACACTGAGGAAAAACGACGACAAGAGATTGAAATATTTACGTATCAAACTTTTTATGTACATTTATGCGCATTTCTTCACATTTCTTTTGGTTCTTTTAAAGTGTACTCACATTTTGATAAAATATTTGGGAAGCTTAAACACATTGTATACAGGTTTTAATGTAGATTGACCTAGCTAAATGTTAGATTTTAATTCCATAAAGTTAAAGTATAAATGAATATAAACAACTTTATTAGAATGCATTGTTGTCTGTCTAATTTTATTTCTGATTTATTTGCAGGAACCGTGATGCTTTCCTGCATACTCATACGAGATCAAACAAACACTATTTGTTTTCTACTTTGGTGTGGGCTTAATTAGACACAGACAATGATAATAAAACAAGGGAAACAGAATATAAAAGAACTCGGTTGAACTTCTTTCCTCAGTTTTGACGTCATTTTATACTCACATTTCGTATACAAACTTCCATTCGGATATAGAGTTAAATGATTGTCTTTAATGTTTTTTCTTCTTTGACTTCAAAATGAAACTTAGGTATGAAAAAAACAAACTAAATTTATGGTACATTTTCCCTCTTTTTTCACAAACGTCCAATCACATTGAGCAAAAATGTCTGCTTGGTTTAATGGGCCATTCAGAATGTAAAGTAAGACTTGTGTTTAATTAATATAATATAGATGTACGAGAAACATATGTTGTAGGTATGTCGACTTCTTTTTATAGTTAATCCACGAAAATATAAAATATAGGAGGTGTACGTTGCATGGAGATTTTGCTAGCATGCGCGAATTTTAGTAACTGATGTATTTCTACGTCATATATTTGATTTTATATTAGCTAAGACTGTACATAATGAATCGAATTATATCACCCACTCGTTATATCATGAAAAGAATTACGGCACAATATGCAAAAGTCTATGTCGAGATTAGTATGTTACCGTACATTTTGAGCAGATTACTTTCACGTTTTAGAGTGCCATACCTTTGATATAACTTGATTCTTTAAAGGTGTAAAGATTTATGAACATCGGAGAGCCATTATTCTTGCTAAATTGTAACAGACCTACTCATTTTACTTTTTTAACTTAAGAAATTAACAAACCCAGCCAATACGGAGGATTCTTTATAATTTAAGAGATGGGGACTATGGTGTCTGTCCGTGTCAATTCAGGGATCGTGCTCTAGTGCCCTACTTTAACCATGACCAAGTCACTGCATTGATAGCAGTGCTGTCCAGTTAGCACAATAGGTACATCGTTTGACGACACGGGTTGGATTCCCAATATTGCATGCCACTTTCGTTGTGATTGATCATAAAATCCTTTCTTTGGTTATTCGCACTGTACCTCTGCTCTGGCATGTACAAAAGCGAAAGTGAAGGCTTAACAGGCTGCCCAGTGGTGGTTAAACTGTGCTCTGGTAAATTAAATGTCTCTTACTGTCGTGATCCGGAGTGAAAACTACAACTACTTGAAGCCGAATGATACAAAATGGGAAAAACTGGCTTTGTTACTGAACTAATGCATGTTTAAGTATGCTATCATCAATATTCAGTTAATAATACATAGAATATTCAGAAAACTGATACATGTAATTATAAACTTATATACATGTACTAGTATGAGGTCTTCCGACAACAATGAAATTGACGATTTTACTTCAAAATAAAAGCAAACATGCGTCTCCAAGAAATTTTTCGAAAAGATTTTACTTTTTTGTGCATAGGTTTTCATTATCATTTTTATTAAATATTGAATATTCGCTATCACTATATAACTTCTAATATAATTAAAATGTTATCGTTGATATTCAGATATAGATATGTTACAATGTACTTAACAGCATATTTTGTTAAAAAGCATTTTAGAAAGTTGATTACAATTTCATATCGTGGAAATTAGAATATAGATCTGTTACAATGTACTTAGCAGCATATTTTGTTAAAAAAGCATTTACAATTTTCAAATTTCATATCGTGGAAATTAGAATATAGATCTGTTACAATGTACTTAACAGCATATTTTGTTAAAAAGCATTTTAGAAAGTTGATTACAGTTTTTAAATTTCAAATATTGAAGACTTGTTGTTTTAGCTGTTTTTGGTCAACAGGCGTTATGGTGTACTGTTTAGGGTATGATCGTTGGGTGTAGCTACGGTCATGTTGCAGGTACAAGTTTTTCCGGTGAGCCGACTCGATAATCACGATTAAAAAAAAATATGATGATGATGCCAATTTCGAGACTAATTTAAGGTCTATACATTCTATACATTTACACATAATAATAATAATAATAATAATAATAATAATAATAATAATAATAATAATAATAATAATAATAATAATAATAATAATTAATAATAATAATAATAATAATAATAATAATAAATACTACTACTACTACTAATAATAATAATGATGATGATGATGATGATAGTGATGATGATGACGATGATGATGATAAGAAGAAGAAGAAAAAAAAGAAGAAAAAGAAGAAGAAAAAGAAGAACATCAAAAACAAGTGGCCTTCAACATTTTATACTAGTATGTCCTAGCATAAAGTGATCAAACTTATCATGTTATATTTTTGCACTTCATGCAAAAATACATCAAATATAAAGAATTGCAATAAATAAATCGTCTGTTGAGCCTAATCAATAGATCTTTTTATATTGTTAGATTTGTATAGCACAAATTGTACACTGAAGAGTCTTGTGAAGACGCTAATTTATGACTAGAAAGTGCCAGCAATGAAACGTGCACTTACCGATACACGTGTCATGTTTGTACGGAACAACGGAACATAATCCGGGACTCACGTCTAATACTTTGAGAGAATGCTCACATTTTACAAAAAATAATCATTCCCGTCTGTCCATTTTGTCTGCCAATATCACTTGTACTTTATTTATTTAGTTTTTAGAGAAAATATGACGATAAATTCTATTGAAATTATACCGACTATGTGAGATCTACTATTTGAATTAAAAACACATGTATTTATAATAATAATAATAATAATACTGATGATGATGATGATGATGATAATGATGATGAAGGTGATGATAATGGTGATGCAATTATTATTATTATTTGCAGATAAAACTAAAATTTGTAATTCTCCATAACTTTTATATACAGAGTTTACGACGACAAAAGGATACATTTTCACACCCAGGATGCTTGAGCTCAAAACTTTTACGGTGACGAATTTATTTCGAAGACGTATGACTGACATGTCTCTCGCCTTTGATTCAGGTAATTTGTATGGAAAAAAAGAAAAATGAAAGAAAAAAATGAAAGAAAAAAAGCAACCATTCAATAGAGATGTTTGGTAAGTGCTCTTTGTTTTTATCACACAAAAAAGGAGGACAGAAAAAAGAAGAAAAATGGCGCCCATCTCAAGTACTCTAAGTATTACTTTTTACTACTATGTGCTCCACGAAGAGTCATCGCATCTGATATGTTATATTAACTATTTATTGTACTATTTTACTGCTAGCATTATCAGTCTGTAAAATAGTCCATGAAATAAACGAATAGCAAATTAACAAAAATACTGTAGTATTTTTTCTTCTTAAAATAAATTTGATAAAACAAATGTCAAACCTACAATTATCATGGTATAACAATAAAAAATATGGTTACAAAGAGATGGACGATATGTCTTCAAATGATGGATATCATTATTAGAAAAAATTTGAGGTAAGAATACTTTATTTATTGAGTCTAGTTGATTGAAAATTATGCTCTAGGAATGCTATTATTCCACTTCTATTTCTCAAAAGCTAAGTTTGACAATATTTGCCGTTTTAATTAAAAAAACAAAGTTATGTTGAAGTTTAAGTAATCTATTTACCCCAAAAGATTATACCAATAACTCTTGTGACCTAATTCCTACATGGCAACAGAAGTGTTTATTCAGTGAATCGGTCTTGAAATTTAATAACAGCAGTTGCATACACAAAAGCTTTAATTGTTTTAAAGTGTATGACAAAATTAAGACATAATTATAATTATTTACTGTTTGTTATCCTCAAAAAATTTACGGAATTAACGCATAAATCGCATCGTGATTAGATAAAAAGACATACTTTTTAACTGAAATATTTAATAAAATTGACAAATCATCATTGTCATGGAACATTATTTAAAATATGTTTCTTTATCCATTTCTATTTCTCAACAGCTAAATTTGAGAAATTTGCCGTGATAATTAAAAAAAAAAAGATTGTTGATTGGAGTCCAACTCTTGTCGCAACCATATTTCCTTATTTGGCAACAGGATTAGTTTATTCCAGGAATCGGTCTTGAAATTTAATAACAGCAGTTGCATACACAAAAAGCTTTAATACAATTGTATTTATCGAGTATGACAAAAATATAAGACATGATTATAATTATTTACTGTTTGATTATACCTCCAAAAACTTTACCGAATTAAACCATAAACTATCTTGATTAAAGATAAAAAAGACATACTTTTTAACTGAAATATTTAATAAAATGACAAATCAACATTGTCATGCAACATTTTTAAAATATTGTTCTTTTTATCACATGTTAAAAATGAATAGAATATTCAAAATACTGTAAATCCGTCAACATACAATCCGAGGCATATTGTTATTCTGCAAATTATGCATACAAAATATAGGACTATTTGTAAGCGCGTGGTTTTGTCACTAATGAAATAATAATTGAATAAAATGTCTCCTTCTATTACGACGACTTGCAGTTTATCAATACCGGGATGATAAAGAATATTCGTATTGATCTGATGGCAAGATACCAACACTTTTTATGCTACCTCAGCTCATACAAATTTCCAGCGCCTAAAGAAGAAATCCTGCATTTCAATGTAAGACATTTTCCTATTAGTTTTGTAAATATCGCCAAACCAATCAGAAGCCGCGTTACAATGCACCTGTTCGAAAAAGCTAATAATTCGCGCAAATATAAGGCACGCGACGATCTGCGGACACAAGAACGGGCTCTTTCCTTTCAGTAGGTAAGCACATGATTATTCTTATTCCCCTATTCCCAATCCTTTCTTTTTATAATTTTATCTTATACTTAGTAAATAAGCAAACATTGACGATGAAATATTACGATAAATAACAAAGTTTTAATGTATAGGTGATGGAATTAAAGCAGTCTCGGATTATTGATAGTGATATAATTATTTGGAATGATTAGATTTTACATTACTTGTTAAAACAAACGATAAAGTTTATACGTGAAAAAGTTGTGAATTAATTTATATGTCTCGGTATATTAACAAAGAGAAGAGCTTTGCACATTTTGTAATTTCATATCTTGCAATAGATAATGATTATTTTAGAAGTCGCGCATTTAATCTATCTCGGACAAGGTTGGACTTTATTCTATTGGCGCCACACTTCACTTTATTTTTTATTTTGAAAACATGTGTTTAGTATAGATTTTGCATAAGATTCTACTTATATAATGCATTCACTAAAACCTCCTGAGGTTTAACTTTTTTCTCTAGGTATATTTTAGGTTAACATATGAATATTAGTATTACGGCGTATATATGGTAAACTTTTAGCAGATTTTTCTCCACTCCCTCCTTTTATTTATACAAGGTAAAAAGTATCAAAGACTGAGCTATTTAAGTAACCCAGTTGTAAATCAGATAGCGGATGATAATATTACTAGTATTACAAATGAGGAAATTTGAAAAAAAAAACTACTATTTAACTCCTAACCTGCATGGACCTAAAGTGTTTATTAACGTTTGTCACTAATATTGAACCAGGCCGGTCTACAAACCGTGCAGTCTGTCCAGACTCAAAACTGTATTTAGATATTAAATTTCCTTAAACTTTGAATTGACTGTTTCAAATACAAAGATGGACGCATCCGCTTAAGGTTTTTTAAGAGAGCTTAATATGCGCTATTATTATGCGTAAGGTGTAAAATGCTCACAACTAGTAATTGTCAAGATGTTTTTTTTCTTTCATTTTCTATTAAAAATCATACGAATTTATAAATTGGTAGATGATATATAATGTTATATTGATAGTTACATACTTAAAAAAATGCGAAATGTAATGTTTCATAAAATGTTATAAAAGTAAACGGAATACCGACAGTAAATGCTTTCTTGGTGTTTAAACTGTTTGGTAAAACTGTAACTTATCGTTGCTTTTATAATTTATATTTCGAAATTACCTATCGATATTTTTAAATTTTGTTATCTGCCGTTTAAATTTGCAATCCATATTTTTTTATTGGTGCAGAGGTCAGAAAAATGCTACGACGAAATACTTAATAATACATGTAACTGGATATTTTACACATATATTTTTATCATTGCAGTAGAAAGAGTTTGAGTCTTGGCATTTTCTTTCGTCAAATCGTCTTTACTAGCAGCGGATCACCATGTCAACCGATTTCTCTAAAGATGAGGACTTTAAGTACCTCGCTATTGATCGCAAGGCCCTGCTGAAAGAACAACTCCCATATGATGGCAAGAAAGCTTGCTGGGTCCCTGACGAGAAGGAAGGGTTCGCCCGCGCAGAAATTGTTTCCTCTAAGGGTGACGAAATCACCGTCAAAGTCGTGAGCAGCAATGAGGTATTTGTCTTTTTGTAAATTTAATTGTTTCATTTTAATGAACTTAACACGACAAACGTAACAGTTAAAAATTGCATATTTGAAACAATATGTAAAGTAGACAACATTGACAAAGATTTTAAAACGTTTATAGAAATAATGTTCCAAATCATTTTTTCGTGTGCTAACATTTGTTAAAGCTACATAATAATGTAAATTCGATTTACAGAATAGAACCGTTAAGAAGGACGACCTTCAGCAGGTCAACCCACCTAAGTTCGAGTGCTGTGATGACATGGCCAACATGACCTACTTGAACGAAGCCTCTGTGTTGAACAACTTGAGACAGAGATACTTCCACGGCTTCATCTACGTAAGTTTCTCCATTTCAATATTTCTAAAATCTTTATTAAAAATAAAAGTGTTTAACTAATTTTTTTATGATTTTAATTTCTTCACTTTCATAGAAAACCGAAAACAGAACCGCTTATTAGTTATTAACCGCTTTATTATTTACATACTTTAAATATAATTCTTATTGCTGATATTGACGGACCAATGACAATATCACTGCAAGGATACTAGTTTCACGTGCGATCCATAAATAAAGCTAGATTAAATCTTTAGGAAAAAATCTCTCAGTGTCCAAATCTATGTTTATTTCATCATTTCAGACCTACTCTGGTCTTTTCTGCGTCGCTGTGAATCCCTACCGTCGTCTGCCAATCTACCTGGACTCCATCATTAGCAAGTACCGTGGCAAGAGGAAGATGGAAATGCCACCCCACTTGTTCGCCGTCGCAGAATCTGCCTTCCAGAACATGTTGCAAGGTACTCCTATAATAATTGTCATGATTATACTATAGAGTCATCATTATCAGAGTTAAATTCATGCAACAGTTAATGAATAAAAAGTAAAGAAAAGAAAGAAAAGTGCCACTAAAATAACGCGTAAGTAAGTCATTATTCAGGAATTTTGCTAAAAGACTTAAGAAATAAAGTGACAATAGTTTCAGAGTGATAGCTTTATTTGAAAACGTGGCTTCTAAATACAACATTAGTAATGGGTCGCTTACACAATGCAACTAATGCTCTCATACAAAGCCGAAAAAACTTTTTTATCATAAATATCACATTTTTGAGCATCATCTACATATGTTTTCAGTATGTTCGCGTCTTTTTTTCTGACATTACAAGCAATTAGGAATCAAGTACGTAACTGAAGTAGCTGTCAGGCTCTAATTATTTGAGACATATTAATATTAGAAACAAACATAGCTTTACAATAATGAAACAGAAAATTACTTACCATACCTGTAATGCTGTCAAGAGATAACTCAGCGTTCTTTTAATGTTAGGTTTTTAGAGTTTTTTAATTGGTTACACATGCTCTATAATTAAGTCAATATTTCGCGTTTCAATGTTTTGCTGAGGCATGTTATTACAACGAGAAGAAAAAAAAGACCATTTTCTCGGTCTAAGCTTACTCACCTGAGAGAGTGTTATTTCAAGACGTGTAATATAATTTCACATAACTTTGCATTGGTTGAAATAAAGAGGAAATTGAATTGAAGTGAGGAAAATGATACATGCATTTACTAGTATACACGTAAAAACAGAGAATCTTGCTGTAGCTATTATAAATAAATAGAATGAATATTTATTATTGATATCATTACCAGATCAGATAAAAAAAAAGTGGCATCTTATTCACTGTAAAATCATGTAAAATGATAATGATAATTTTGTATCATTTCAGATCGCGAGAACCAGTCCTGTTTAATTACGTAAGTTTTTATTGTTTTATATTTAAACTAAATATCATATTTTTGGCGTTTGCTTAAAAATAAAGCTAACGATTTATATACAAATATAATTGTTAAAAGAGACCAAAGGTCGAACTACGTGTAATTTCTTATAGCTTTTCTTGTTTTTTTATGATATTAATGACAGGGATTTTTTTATCGAAACATGAAAATAATGTTTATACAAACAGTGGTGAGTCTGGTGCCGGTAAGACTGAGAACACAAAGAAAGTAATCATGTACTTCGCCAAGGTCGCCGCTCAACTCTCGAAACAGACAGAGGAAGAGAAGGCAGCCGCCGCAGCCTCCAAGAAGGTAATGTCACATTTCCTAATAGACAATACTTAAGTTCATATTTAAAATTGATATAGATTTTGTCTATAGAGTTCTATAGAAATGAATGACAGGTATCATATGATGTGATTTCATACTTTGTCAAACGGAAACTATTATTTACTTTACAGGGTACCCTTGAGGATCAGATTGTGCAGGCTAACCCTGTACTTGAGGCTTACGGTAACGCCAAGACAACCCGTAACAACAACTCCTCTAGATTCGTGAGTATTTAATATCATGTGTGAATCCGTGTTTAAACCTTATTATTTTACTCAATACTCTTGTAATATCTCGATTTTGTTTAACAACATGATCTCAACTTGCCACGAAACTTTATGTTAAGGCATTGCAATAATAATCTGAATTTCCTACCGGTACCTTATATCTTTACATTCCTTATGAGACTTGTTTTGATTTATCCATTAAATTTCGTTTTATAACTTTGTGTATTTTCCTGCCTGCATACACAGTTTTCCATTTATGTATCAAACCTTTATCTACAACTTGATATGTATTTTATTAACATCTTGCTCAGATAATGAACTTATCTTTTGTTCTCAATACTTTGATTTTTCCTTCTCCAATCAAACTGCTATCCTTTTTGTAACTAGCCTCGTCTTCGTTTAGCGTTATAATAATTAAGGCAGGCAGTTTGTGGGAAACTGATGGTGCCTTCGATTCGATTGAAACATATCAACATGGCTACTATTTCAACGTTAAACGCATGTATTATTTCATAAACCTTACTGTTTAATAACCCTCCTTATTTTAGCTCAATCGTTTGGGATGAGCTCAAATTCTTGAGCTTGACATTCAAGCGATGTGGAGAGGACTGATTCCTCCACAGGTAAGAAAGAACATAGTGGACTGCATGCTCACTGTGCTAGATTAGCGGCTTATAAATCTTAGCTTTACAGATATTCCTTAAATATGTATAACCAGAAGTCACAAGGTAACGTTAATTACAATTACTCCTTGTTAACTTTTTAGCAACATTTACATGTTTTATATGAATCATACATAATATGCTGATTTCTATATTTACGGAATGAATTAAACACATTTTTTTTGTACATGCAACATTCTCTGATACTCAAATTATTCTGCACGTAATACTGTTATCATGTTAAGATGTGTTGTTTAAAAGGCAGGTTGCGCAGTTTGAGAAATAAAAGCTTACATATTATTTTTATTGTTAAATAAGGTTGCATTACATCAGGTTTTTTTCTTTTATTATTATACACAAAGGGGACATTTGCTTCAGTTACATTTTTGTATTTATTTCTTTTCTTATTAATGATCATAATTATGTGGCAATATCGGACAATCAAAAGTCATAAAGCGACATTTTTAGAGAGAAAAAAAAGAATACATGTAACTAACACATATATATCTTCATCAATCTATATCTGTCTTTGATTATTGTTGCAAAATTTACAGTTAAGTAACATATATATATGTTTTATAGGGTAAGTTCATCCGTATCCACTTTGGTCCTACTGGAAAAATCGCTGGATGTGACATTGAAACTTGTAAGTATTACTTAATAAATCCAATTACCTAATTCTTTAATATTTGTAAAAAAACTTATTCAAACCCACTGACTTACATCCGTTAACCTGCTGGTACGAAAGTGGTAAACATTTGTCACCATCATAGAGCCGGGTCATTCTGCATATCCATGCAATATGACGAGGCTTTCAATCATTTGCAGTTTTTTTTGTATTTCAATTGCTTACACATTGCTTATTCCAAATTCAAATATTGCCAATTCACTTCTTTCAGCAGGTAAAGGTTTAATATCCTTATTCCCATTGGTAATCCATATTTAAAGTCAGAATTTATGATCTAGTATCAACTGCTTTACAGCCTAGTTACGATTAATATACAGTACAAATACAGATTCAACACTTTCATTATACAATAACATACTAAGATTCATCAATTTCATTATAGTCCTCAATTTTAGTATACAATAAGAGACAAAAAAATTGAACATTTTCATTATACAATAAGATTCATCAATTTTATTATACAATAAGATATTGATGTTTTATTGCAACTCTAATTTGTTTCATATACTTTTGTTCATGAACCATTTTCGTGTCAAGTTGAACTTTCAAATGTGTTGCGTTATATCAATCGATAGTCGTTTAATAGTTTTGTATTTTTCCAGACCTGTTGGAGAAGTCTCGTGTAACATACCAGCAATCGGCTGAGAGAAATTACCACATCTTCTACCAGATAATGACACCAGCTTTCCCTAAATATCACGGTATGTTATAAAGTGTAATAAGAATGAACGAAAATGAAAATAATACTTTACAAAAATTTTTTTTTTCTCCACTCCCAGTTTTCGAATAAATTATCTGTAAAAAATTGACTAATCATAGGTCATATGGGACTGTTGAATTATATATTAATATTCTGCGATAACGATACAGTATCTAGTATGAAAATACGAGTAAGAAAAATGCTGTATTGCGATAGAGATACTGGAATGTTCGTGAAGTTCTTGGAGAAAGATCTTGAAATAAGAGTGACACAAAATTAAACCCTTACATAATAACATGTTGAAATATGTATTTGTATTTGTATATAATGCACTTTTGTACATCACACTATCATTTTACATCAATGTGTCTATTTTACTTTTAGAAATTTGTCTGCTGAGTGCTGACCCAGGACTTTACTCGTTCGTCAACCAAGGTGTGCTCACTGTCGATGGAATCGATGACGTAGAGGAAATGAAAGCCACTGATGTAGGTTTATGCAAAGTTTAACACAAAGAAAGCCAAGCCAAATATAAACAGATTATTGAAAAAGAATTTTAAGATTTACTTTTTTTACATTTTGATGACTGACTGATTACTTTTTAATCACATACTCAAAACTTCTATATCAGATTTGATATCTAATTTGCGTTGAACAAATATTTCTTCCGTATTTAACATTTATTACCTCATATCGGCTAAATCATTTAATCTATTTATCTACTTATTAATATGCCTATCTGCAACGACACAAGCATCATATAACTTGTTATTACAGGATGCCTACGATGTGTTAGGCTTCAGTCAGGATGAAAAGAACAGCTTGTACAAGATTACTGCAGCCATTGTCCACTTTGGTGAAATGAAATTCAAACAGGCTCCAAGAGAAGAACAGGCTGAATGTGACGGAACTGCAGGTAAAATATTTCAATATGTAAATTATTTACATAACGACATTCATATTTATAACGTGTTACTTGTCCAACTAATATTTTCCAGAAGTCCATTTTCTTTCTAAAATATACCGTTCTATATATTTAAAAATATTTCTTATTTATTCACATGTTAGCGAATGTCATTTAATCTAATACACTAAATGTAATTGTTTTGCAGAGGCCGAAAAGGTGGCATTGCTCATGGGTATTAACTGTGGTGATTTGATAAAGGGTTTGTTGAAACCAAAGATCAAGGTCGGTACCGAGTTCGTCACCCAGGGACGTAACAAGGAACAAGTCGTCAACTCAGTCGGTGCTATTGCTAAGTCCACCTACGCTCGTATGTTTGACTGGCTGGTCAAGAGAGTTAACCAAACTCTTGATACTAAACAAAAGAGAAATTACTACATTGGTGTATTGGACATTGCTGGTTTCGAAATTTTTGACGTAAGTTACATCATATTATTCAATCAACGAGTAAAATTTTAAAAGTTTTAGTTGATTTATTCATTTGTTTTGTAAAATACCGACATAATTAAGTTCATTCCAAAATGTTTAATGATACAAAATTGATAATTTATTGCTTATTATTTACGGAGTTGATTTGATAAATTTTAGTTCAACAGCTTTGAGCAATTGTGCATCAACTACACCAATGAGAGACTCCAGCAGTTCTTCAACCATCACATGTTCGTACTGGAACAGGAAGAATACAAGAAAGAAGGTATCCAGTGGGAATTCATTGACTTTGGTATGGACTTGCAAGCCTGTATTGAACTGATTGAAAAGGTAACACGTAAGAAAAGCTTTTCATAAACACCGTCTCAAAATACTTCCTTGGCTTATAAATTACAAAATTATTTTAAGAAGTGTTATAGATGCTGCGAATTAATCATTATGAACAATTGTCACTCCTTCACAATACAAAATACAAAGAAACCAAAAAAATGATAAGGTGATAAAATATATTTTTTTCAGCCCATGGGTATCTTGTCCATTCTTGAAGAAGAATGCATGTTCCCTAAAGCTTCAGATAAAACATTTGAGGACAAATTAATGACGAACCATCTTGGAAAATCAAAGGCCTTTGGCAAACCCGTCAAGAGTAGAAAGGGAGGTGGCAATGCTCACTTTGAATTGCACCATTACGCAGGAGCTGTAAGTTGAATTAATTTTTGAATCTTCAAAATGATTTTGCTAATACTTAATGTAAAATAATTACGTTGTCATTGTCTTAACTTGTTGAACCTTAGATTACAAGTATTTACTTTATATTCTCATTCTGAAATATTTCAGATTTAGGTGAAAATATCCATGTGATTAATTGTCAATGATTAACTTCAATTCACGTCCTTCAGTGAGAAGATGTTTGAAATGCTAGCTTTCAATTATAGGTACCATACAACATTTCATCTTGGTTGGACAAAAATAAGGATCCATTGAACGAAACCGTGGTTGGCACTCTTTCGCAGTCAAAGGAGCCTCTTGTAGCTGAATTCTTCAAACTTCCACCAGGTAAAAAAGCGTTTGCATGAGTATGATTATTTGTATAATTACATAGTAATTTATTCATATTTTCTTTTTATTACATTAGTAAATAAAACAACATAGGCAACACAATATCATCACTATACGTTAATGATAATTTGTTAAGTCATACAATACATTCAAATAATAACAATTTCTTTTATTTCTTATCTACTATAGCCCCAGAAGGCGGTGGTGGCGGTAAGAAGAAGGGAAAATCTTCTGCTTTCCAGACCATCTCCTCTGTCCACAGAGTAAGTGTTTCTTGTGTATTTTATAAAAGGATAGTTTAAAAAAATAAACGTTCATATATAAAACATACAAAATGTAGGTTTAATTATAATTGAAAATGCATTTTTATTATATATTCATACTGTAAATTCTAAGCGATGCTTGTATGTTGCCTTTTCTTATTTGAATTTGATTCTACTTTTATCTACAGGAATCTTTGAACAAACTGATGAAGAACTTGTATACCACTCACCCTCACTTCGTACGATGTATCATTCCCAACGAGTTGAAGACACCAGGCTTGATTGATGCTGCCCTTGTACTTAACCAGCTTCAGTGTAACGGTGTACTTGAAGGTATCCGTATCTGTAGAAAGGGATTTCCAAGCAGGATTATCTACTCTGAATTCAAACAGAGGTAGGTGATATACTAATTATGATTCATATTTTGTATTAAAATGCATTTACGTTTTTGCTGAACAAACCATGTTTATGACTATGAATGAATTTATCGATCATTATTTTTCATTTTAAGATACTCTATTCTTGCTGCCGATGCCGTTCCAGCAGGATTTCATGAAGGCAAAGAAGTTACATCCAAAATTCTTGCTGCTCTTCAGATGGACCCAAATGAATACAAAATCGGTAACACAAAGGTATTCTTCAAGGCTGGTGTTTTGGGTAATCTTGAAGATATGCGTGACGAACGCCTCTCCAAGATTGTATCTCTTTTCCAGGCCTGGATCAGAGGTTATTCAATGCGCAAACAGTACAAGAAACTTCAAGATCAGAGGTAAGTTTCGTGTGAAAAAATAATGCTTATCAAAATTTCGATACAGGGCATGATCACTTTACATGAAATCAAAGATTAACATAGATAACCAGTTTATAATTTTGTAAAGATGTTTTATTTGCAGTTTTGTGTGTAAAAATCATTTCTAAAACATTAGCATATCTTTGTTTTAAGAACTGGCTTGTCAGTAATTCAGAGGAACATCAGGAAGTATATGGTATTAAAAAATTGGCAGTGGTGGAAATTGTACACAAAGGTCAAGCCTCTGCTCAGCGCCGCTGCAGCTGAAGACGAGATGAACCAGATGAAGGAAGAGTTTGCTAAAACAAAGGAAGAGCTTGCAAAGATTGAAAAGATAAAGAAAGAGCTGGAAGAAAGGTGTGTTATGCTTCAGAGAGAAAAGGATGATCTGAAATTAGAATGTTCAACTGAATTAGATACCGTTGCTGATTTAGAAGAAACTATCGAGAATCTTATCAAACAGAAAGCTGACTTCCAAACCCAGATTAAGGAACTAGAAGACAGATGCCAAGATGACGAAGAAGCTGCAGCAGCCCTTGAATCTGCCAAGGCTGCACTGAAAGAGGAAACTGAAAAACTCAGAGGAAATATTGAAGAGCTTGAAGGATCTCTAAAGAAAGCTGAACAGGAAAAACAAACCAAGGACAACCAAATAAGAACACTTCAGGATGAAATGACCAAACAAGATGAACAAATCGGAAAACTTAACAAGGACAAAAAGAATTTGGAAGATACCGTCAAGAAAACACAGGATGCTCTTGCTGCCGAAGAAGACAAAGTCAATCACTTGAGCAAACTCAAACAAAAGCTGGAATCCACTCTCGATGAGGTAAGTAAGACAATTTTCTGATCAGATTATTTAAACACTTCCAAATAAGTTACATACATATTGTATATACATTAGTGTTTTTAAGATCACATTTACAAATGTGTTGAGGAGGAAATATTAAGTGTTGTGTTAAAATTTTACTTTAAACAGCTTGAAGATAACCTTGAAAGAGAAAAGAAGGTGCGTGGTGATGTAGAAAAAGTTAAGAGGAAGGTTGAGCAAGACCTTAAGGCCACTCAAGAAGTTGTAGACGAGTTAGAACGTGTCAAGGCTGATCTTGACGGCAACCTTAAAAAGTAAGTTTGCTTCTAAGACGTTTTTTGTTGGGATACTTTCTTCCTAAATTGATGTATTTTCTTTAATTACGAGTCATATTGTAAAGTATTCACTAATTATTAATTCTACATAGGAAGGAAGCCGAAATCAAGACTCTCAACTCCAAGCTTGAGGATGAGCAAGGTCTTGTCGCTCAGCTCCAGAGAAAAATCAAAGAACTCATGGCACGCATTGAGGAACTCGAAGAAGAACTTGAGACTGAGAGACAAAACAGGACCAAGGTAAAATAGTATAAATGGCTAATGGCTTTAAATATGAGACCTACATGCAAAAGTTGCATGTCTCAGAATTTAAAAGCGAATATCCAAGACGCTTATCTTTGAAAACAAGGTTTTACTTGCTTGGGTTAAACGGGAAGTTATTAGTTTATTATTGTGATGCAACAAAATTTGCTAAGTTTTAAAACATTGGATATAGTTTGTAAGAAATAGTGTATGATTATGAAATAAAACAATTAAAATCCGTTTTGATTTGTATTCCTTTTAGGTTGAAAAACAAAGGAACGAGCTCAATCGTGAACTCGAAGAACTCGGTGAGCGTCTTGACGAAGCCGGTGGTGCTACTGCTGCTCAAATTGATTTGAACAAGAAGCGTGAACAGGAACTGCTTAAACTCCGTCGTGAACTTGAAGACTCAGCTCTTGAACACGAATCTACCATTTCTGCACTTCGCAAGAAGGCGCAAGATACAAGCAATGAAATGGCTGACCAAGTCGACCAGCTCACAAAAGTCAAGCAGAGGTTATTATTTACAATAATTGACGAAATACGATATAATTATGATGAGATAAGTTTTTTTTCATTTAACATACAAGAAAG